TAGTGAGAAGAATAATGTCCAAATGATGCTGGACATTTAGTTCAATAATAACTAATAGATAATGACCAATAGTCCTACATTGGAAAATACTATATTGAGAAAGTCATTATCTTTTAGTCCTATTTAGGTAAATTACTCATAATTATATACACCACCGTCCCTTAAAATTTACTCTGTATTACATTGACTTTTTTAATCAAACTGCGACACTCAGCTCTTTGATCATGAATTACTGAAATAATATATTTAGATATAATTTTAATTATTAAAATACGGAGTAAGATTTATTTTAAAATATAATTTTGAAATATCAAATTTTTATAATACGGAGTATTAATTATTTAAATTTATATTTAATTCGTTGTCAAAGAGTACTACACTTCAACCAAAAAAGTCAAATTGTGGCAATCTTTTTTGTTATAGGCATCGCTTCCCTTTTGCACTGAACATTGCTTTTTGGTGTGTTGAGGTTCTTATTCTATGAATAGGTTTTGGGGGTTTCTTTTTTTTGTAAAATGTTATCAAATTTTAATAATGGTTGTAGAAGATATAATATTACGAAATAAATTATTAATGTAAATACTATTTGAATAGATAAATACTTTGATAAACATTAGATCCACATTCATTTTGTCTACTTTGCTTAAGGAAGATATAAAGTGAAGATTATATAATCTATTAATGTTGTTGGGTAAATCTTGTGAAAAAAATTCCAATGACATATTATTTGTTAAGTAATGACTTACGTACAAAAAATCTTCTGTGGGCTTGGTCACTGCGCAACTTCCTTTACCACGAACGTTGCGTAACACGTACCTTTGTGATTGATCCAAAAATATGATATCCTGTCAAAGAATTAACTCGACTAAATGATTAAAAATTGTAATTGCGTGCTCAGAAAATATTTAATACTAGTAAGAAAAAATGTAATAAAGTTGTTACTCGGTATAAAATATAAATCATCATTTTTTGAGTACTTCATCCTAAATTATAGTATATCCTACGGAGTATTATTTTTCGTAATAATTTGTGGCAAGTAATTATTCTACTTCCATACTTATCCGGAATACATAATCTACAAGAAGCATGCTACACTTATGCCAAAATTAGTACCTCATTTGTACACCAAAAGTATGCACTAACATTTTAATAGTTCACACTGATACAAGTGTTGGTGCGTTAACAAAAATTTATACTGACACAAAATGTTGGTGTGTTAACAAAAATTAACATTACACCAACACAAAATGTTAATGCATTCCTGCAGTGTACAAAATGGGGTACAAATTCTTGGGTACAAATAGCATTATCCAATTTACAATCTTTCTATGCATGGGAATTAATTGGGAATATGGGATGGCCATGACCTAATAAAGGGAAAAGGCATGCACTTGAGTTGAGCACCATTATTAATATTGTACTAATTTGATTAAATAATTTGATTTATAAATCGATATATCAATAAGAAATAAAATTTATATATTAAAAAGTTTAAAAGTTCTACAAAAAAATGGAGATGACAAGAATATTTTATTTTATCAAATACTTAATGAAATCGCATAAATAAACAAAAATTATTGAGGAGAGAGATAAAAAGATTGTAAACAAAATGAGAACCGAAGTAGTAATAGGAATCCGAGTAATATATACTCGGTTACATGCAGTAATCATAACCCCAAAAATGTCCAAACAATCCTCTCTTCACCTTTTCTGGACCTTTTCCCGTATTTAGAAGTGAAATTTGCACTAAATAGAATTAAAACATAATGACTTTCCTAATGTAAGACTTAAACTTTTTTATTCCCTAAATAGGACTTAATAATGATCTAGTGGGAAGAATAATGTCCAGTAATGATGGACATTACTTGAATAATGACTACTTCATAATGACCAAAAGTCCTACATTGAGAAATAAAAACATATAGTCCTATATTGGAAAAGTCATTATGTTTTAGTCCTATTTAGATAAATTTCTCTATTTAGAAGCTCTCATCACTCCCCAAACGTGTCACTGTTACAATAACTACTTAAATCAATAATAAAATAATCACCACTCATGCATGGGAAACATATTATCGCAGATGATTAAAGAAATTAAAGGAAAATGAAGAGAGTTAATTAAGCGAGATAGTTGTCCATGTGCCAAAAATGAAGAAAGAAAACGACAGTTGTTTCGCCTGTGGCGTACATAAATGTTGATAAAAAAACCCTCCGGCGTCACGCCGGCAGCCCGCCTCCTCCTCCGCCATCATTCGGTGCTGACGCTACACGGGCTGGGGAGACGTTTAGTGACGGCGCCGCTCCGCGTAGAGTTGACGACGGCGGGTATCAACACCGGGCAGGTGACGTAGTGGAGAGGGAGAGATCCGGCGAAGCCAGCCTTCAAATATGACGATGCCGGCCGCCTTGACGCTGATCGGGACGCCGCCGCCACTTTCCGTCAAGACATTGGAGGGGGGAATCCCTAGGTCGTCTCCGTTATTATCCCCTCTAATAACGGCGGATCAGAATCCGCTCCCCTTAGGATCCAGGTGGTTTCCCGGGGAGACTACCGGGGTTAAAGAGGTGATCCTCTGGCCCTTGTAGGCGGCGTAAATTAAACCACCACCGACTCGTAGTAGATTCTGCCATAGCTGTTTCCGTTGAAGGAGGAGATGGTCACCTGAATCAAACAAATAATTAATGAAATTATTCATGAATATAAAATAAAAAAAAAGAAATATTAGCACTATATATACAAGTCATTATTTCCGAATGGAGTAATTAATTACTCCACAGTCCCTAAATAAACTTCCTCTTTCGTTTTTTCTTTGTACCCAAATAAACTTCTCTTTTCCCTTAAAAAACTCCTTTTACCCCTTATTTTTTTATACCCTACCTATCACATCATACCTTTTTACTAATAATCTATCTATCACATCTTATTTTTACACATCACATCAAGGGTATTTTTGGAAAGTCAACACCAAATCTTACTTTTTGCTTATATTTTGTTTTTCCCTTTATTTGTTTCTTTTACTAATCAAGGTTTTTAAAATTACTTTTTAAAATTATTTTTTAATGTTCTCAAAATTTAAAATTAATATTCTTTGAAAAAAACATGCATATTCTGCATTTGTAAGTCTCAAATTAACAACTTTTATTTTATGAAATAAATAAATAAAAACTTTTTTAAAAACTTCAAAAAATGAGAAATAAAATAAAATAAAAAATAAAAATGAATACCAGTTTTGGACATCCCAATTCTAATGACTTTTTTAGGTGTTTTGAAAATTTCTTTTTGTATTACCTTTTTTTTCATGTTTCAATATTTTTTTCATTTCACTTTTCCATTTTTTTATGTTTTTATTCGAAATTTTCTTTTTACTCTCACCAAAAAAATTATTGAAAATATTTAATTTGAGATAGATGGAGTATATACTTATCTTTTCTCAAATATACATAATTTTGGATTTTCTAAAACATTATAAAAAAAAATTTAAAAGAACTTTTTTTAGAAAAAGGTCAGAAAGACGTCAAAAATGCTAGGGGAGGGGAAAAATCTAAATAATAAATGAAAAAGAAATGAGCACGAGTGCCTCCTGCCATCTTAGGGTTAAGAAAATAGGCACTAATGTCACCTCTTTGTCTAAAAATGATAAGAGGAGTCTATATGCAATAATTTGAAACCACAAGACATTAGGAATAAGATTTGAAAGCTGAAAAAAATGATATCAATTTTTCAAACTAAAGCGGACATTCGAGCTATTTAAGGGCGTGGCCCTCGCGACCTCATACATGACAAGAAACTAATTAAGTCATCTCAAATTTTTTATTGTGGGTCGCAGAAATAATTTCTACGTTACTCTAAAAAAAACATACGGAGTATATGTTAATTAGAAAGTTGTTACTCGTTACACTTCCCACTTATAATTGTCATATTCCCATATTTACCCAGTAAAGGATATACAATCATTCTCTTCTTTTGAACAAATTTCAAGTTTTCAGTTTTTATTTCTTACAATTTTCTAAAATTTTATGGAGTGAAGTTAGGACCATTAATTGAAATGAGTAGTACTCCCTCCGTCCCACTATATTTTTCCACTTTCATTTTTGCACATCATCCAATACACTTCTTTAATCCATTTTATCTTGCAATTTGTATATTAAAAAATTATAGAAATTATATATTAATAATCTATATGTTAAGACAAATCAAACAAGATCACGCATGATTATATTTAGGCTTACACATTGAGAGAATTTGATGACTCAAAGTGCTTAGATAAACAGTTCCAAAAGTTAAAAGTGGACGAATATAGTAGGACGCAGGGATAACTCCAAGAAAGGCCAGTGTACGCGTCTTCCCATAATTAACACGGACAACACTTGCTATCAAAAAAAAAAACACGGACAACACTTTTGGTATGCATGGGAATATGGGATGGGATGACAACTCATGCATAATACGGAGTATGACCTAATAACGGGAATATTTAGCATATATGCAGTTGTGGACCATTATTATTACTCCCTCCGTTCAAAAAAGAACTTCCCACTTTCCTTTTTCATCCGTCCATAAAAAAACTTCTCATTTCTATTTTAGGAAAATTTTTGAGAATGAAATGTCATTTCTACCCTTAATTTTCTTCTTCCTCTCCCTTTCTTCTTTCTTTCTTTTTCTTCCTTCTTCTATCATTTTTTTTCTTCTTCCGTTTTTTCTTTCTTTCTTTTTCTTCTTTTTCTCCTTTTTTCTTTCTTATTCCTTCTTCTTCTTCTTCTTTCTTCTTCCTCATCTCCTTCTTTATTTTTTCTCCTTCTTCGTCTTTTTCTTTTTCTTCTTCCTTCTTCCCTCTTCTTCCTCTTCTCTTTCTTCTTCATTACTTTAATGATTTTTCTTCCTTATTTCGTCAGCTAGAAGAAGACATTGTTTTCTAGATCTGGTTGCATCTTCACCGGATCTAGATTTGCAGTGGCAAATTTTTTTAAATTTTTTCCAGATCTGTGGCGAGGATGCGGGTCAGCGACGGCGAGGGATGCGGGTCAACGACGGCGGGGGATGCAGAAGCATCATCGGCGGTGCTGAAGTGCCGGTGGCGGGGGTTGAGGAAGCATCATCGGCGGGGGGGGCTTTTGACGGCGGGGGTTGAGGAAGCACCATCGCGGTGGTGCTGAAGTGCCGGCGGCGGCGGTGCTGAAGTGCCGGCGGTCGTGGTGCCGAAGTGCCGGCGTCGGCAGTGGTAGATGACATCAGTCAGTGGGGGAGTACAGGGGTGTATAGGGCAAAAAGGCTAAGGGGTATAATGGGAAAGTCAACACAATTTTCATCACACATAAATTTGCGTTTTGCGTGCCCTGTCAAACAGGAAAGTTTTTTTTTGCACGGAGGGAGTATAGAATTCCCGGTTTAAGTATATGTAACATACTCGGTATTGTTTAGTACACACTATTTTTTCGGGGAGCCTAATGAGAAACGTTCTTCCCAAAGGGAATCACTACTTTTTTTTTTAATTCTTTATTTTATTCTATTTTTTTGCAAAAGGGAATCAATTACTTTATAAATTAGGTTTTGTGTAAGAGAAAGTTCCACGGAGCAAGTTGGTTATGGTTCTTATAGGGACGACCGAACGATTAGGAGTCACTAAGCAGAGCAGCTCCTCAATTCCTATCATTGCCAGAGTGATCGCTCCTAATTTTTCGGACCTCTGTTCTTAAATCGAAAACCCCGAAATTTCGGGGATTAGAGAAGAAGGGTTTCACTTGCCCACTATCTTTTACGATGTCTTGAAGAAAAAGAAGAAGAGTGAGATTCCGATTATCGGACCCAATGGCGAGCCCTGCAGGAAGTGGAGGAGGAGGAGGAGGAAGAAGAAGAATCTTTGAAGAATTTTCACCGGGGTATTATGGGGTTTGCGCCATTGGAGGAATGTTGAGTGCTGGCACAACTCATCTCGCTTTAACACCTTTTGATGTCCTCAAAGTCAATATGCAGGTCTTCCATATCCCCCCCTCTTTTTCCCCTAACTTGTTAATGAAAAAATAAGATTTTGTTTTTAAATTCTATTTTCAATTTTATGTTAGATTTTGCTTTAACACCTTTTGATGTCCTCAAAGTTTATGTTTGTTTGATGTACTCATTTTATCCGGCGATTGATTGAAAACTAACAAGAAATGAGGTGCTGAATTTTGGGTCTTTAGGTGCACCCGGCGAAGTACAAAAGCATACCAACCTGCTTTACCATTCTACTGAAAGAAGAAGGTCCATTGGTGTTTTGGAGAGGATGGGGTGGGAAGTTCTTAGGGTATGGCGTTCAGGGTGCTTGTAGATTCGGCCTGTATGAATACTTCAAGAACGTGTACTCGAATTTTCTTGGGGATCAAAGGAAGAGTTTGATATTCTTTCTGAGCAGTGCATCATCTGAAATGATTGCCAATTTCGCTCTCTGCCCGTTTGAGGCCATCAAAGTCCGTGTTCAAGCACACCCTCACTTTGGGAAAGGTCTGGCTGATGGATTCCCCAAATTATATGCTTCTGAAGGAGTCCGTGGGTACTAGTTACTTACCCCTTACTCTGTGTTACTTTTACCATACTTTTTTACTCACTGATTCCTCATTCTTTTTGTGATATCAGATTATACAAAGGGCTTATACCACTTTTGGGACGAAACCTACCATGTAAAGAGTAATTTCAAATGTAGCTATTGCTCGTTTTGTTCAAAGTTAACTTCATGAAGCTAGTAAAGATGTTTTGTCATTTGTGAATCTGTTTTGTAAGTGTGATTGACTGAAATGGCTGAATAAGTGTTTGGTATAAGCAATTTCTGCCAAATCAGATGTTACTTTTTCTGATTGTTGTTTGGTGATAAGTAGAATAAGCTGATTAGTGCTACCTAATGTGGCATTTATAGTAATAGGGTCTGAAGTTTGAAATTCTCAACTTTATCTTGCTTGTTCCTAATTTGTACATGTTTGTCCTTATCTTTTTAATAATCCCTCCGCCCTAAATAAAATTTCCACTTCTTTTCTTTCCACAAAAGGAAAGGAATAAGTGGCTTACAACATTCCTCTCTCCTGTAAAAACAAATTCTATCCATACACTTTTCACATTTCAACAATGTTTTTAAACCCCGTGAAGTCAAACTGGGACTCTTATTTGGGGACGAAGGGAGTATATAACGTTTCATTCCCAGATTCTAGATGGAATGTGAGAAATAAGTTCCCCAAATTCCGAGCTGCTGGTGGCCATAAACAGTGCTTGCTTGTATATTACCATCAACAGCATTAATTTTTTTTAGTAATTCATTTATTGATGTCATATTCTCTTCTTCTGCAGTCTCATTAGTTATGTTTTCAACATTTGAACACACGGTGGATTTCACGTACAAAAAGATAATTCAGAAAAGGAAGGAAGATTGCTCAAGAACGCAACAGCTTGGGGTGACATGTTTTGCAGGATATGCAGCTGGATCTATTGGAAGTATTGTTTCTAATCCAGCTGACAACATCGTTGCCTCCCTATATAACAAGAAGGCTTTGACCCTTAAGTTGGTAATTTCTTTTTTAATTCTGTTTTTTCTTATTATCTGTGTAATGCATGTGTATTCCTTGAGATTAACTTTGCTTGGGTTTTTTTTACCTTTCTTGGCCAGGCGGTGAAAAAGATTGGGATCATTAATTTATTCACCAGGAGTCTTCCTTTAAGGATAATGCTGGTTGGGCCATCTCTAACTTTGCAGTGGTTGTTCTATGATACGATTAAGGTTTTAAGCGGATGGTAAGGAGCGTATATTTTCTGCGATTTGTGATGAAATCTCAAACTTGTAAACCGTAACGTGTCTAAACTCTTGAGCATTTGCAGGCCAACGAGTGGGTACATCCGCCCCAGTTCAGAGGAGATAAATCACATGTTGAAATGAGATGCACATGAAGTCGACAAGTCCGTCAAGATTAAGCAAATTAAGTTACAAAACCATAAAGCCAAGATTGCTTTTTTGTTCTTCTTGACAAGAAGTATGTGCAGATTTTCTTTGTGTGGGTTTGGATTGGATCCCTTTTCTTTGCAGTGTATATATTCTCTATTTCACCCACCACCCTCTGTTGTTAATTGCTGTGCTGGTTTCAGAGCCACTTGGTTTCTGAACATTTATGCCAACAGTTTTGGACATATGGTTATTGTAAGTTTGAATATTATTAGTAGAGCATATAGCCATGCACTTATATTGAGCTGTCATACTTATTATACTTGGTGAAGCCTTAGCTCACTTATTTGACAAAGTTTTAGCTTGGGGTAAATAATAGATTAAATTAAGCTGACACATTACATTTTCATTTTTCTTTCCTTGATGTTATGGGCACTAAGTACAAGAATGCATCAAAGCTCTTATAGAAGCAGTCCTTTTTATACTTCACAGGAGTAGGATTGAATGCTATCTTAACCTCTTAATTCTCAACGGCGTTGGGATTATATAGTATTGTTATTGTTGTTGTATATCACATCGGGCTGGTTCCATAGGAACTGACTTTGGTTGACACTGCCCATTCAGGGCGCGTAATGTGTTCCGTTTGATAAATTAATCGTCCTCATCCCCCAAAACTTGTCTCATTGCCCCCAACCTCTCTGGCCCTTGCTCTTGTGTGCCATTTGGCAATATAGTATTTAGAATTGCCAAGCAGCAGGCGGGGACAAGGAGAGAGGGACCATGGGGGCTAAGGACCTAAGGTTTAAGGTAGGGGTGAAAGGTTTGGAGGGTTAGAGGGGATAAAGGACATTAACTTTTATTTTCATTTTTTATCTTTATATTGAACGCTGTAACAAATATCTCAAATAGAAATCACCTTAAATAAGACTAATACATAGAAAAAGTACCAAAATAAGACTTTCATGTTTTTATTCTTGAAATAAGAGTTCGCACTGTAGTAATGTTTAGGTAATGTGGCACTGTACACATGTACATTACTATACTTTTTGGTAATGTACATGATAACGTTTGGTAACGTAAATACATTTTAACTCCTATTTCGAGAATAAAAACATAGAAGTCCTATTATGGTATTTTTTTCAAGATTTTACTCCTATTTTAGTATTTTTCCCATATCTCGAAACTAGAGAACATAAATGCAGCTAGTTTTCAAACTTTTTTTAATTTTTAAAATATTTTGGTATACTTCTTTCGTTCTAGTATTTTTATCTACTTTCCTTTTTAAATCTTTTATTTGTTTTTTCTCCATTTTCTTTTTTAAATGTCTCATGATGGTGTAAATTCATTGGACCATATTAACTATTCGTGATCGAAATAGAATTCGTGCACGAATTTATCCTCATAGGAATTTATCAACATATCCGGTATCTAACATTTAAAAAAATATTCTAAATAAGAGTAAAAGATGATATTTATCCTTGAAATAAAAGTGTCTATGTCTTATCCAAAAATAGGTATTTGATATTATGACACTTTATAATGACATCCCACTTTGTTTTTATTGGTACAACATTATATACTGACATTATAGAGTGCTTCTATAGTGCACTTTGGAATTTGAATGCATATCATTTTTGTGAATTTTTCACATAAAAAACTTTTTTTTATTTTATTTTTTTTGAAAATTCTCATCTAAGTGGTAAAGAATTGCTTATTTGAGTCATATGTAGGGTCATGATGGACCTTAGATCCACCATAGAATTAACCGACATTATAAGCATTGTAACTCTTATTTTGGGATAAACATGAAGTTCCTATTTTGATATTTTCTTCATGTTTTACTCCTAGTTTAATTTTTTCCCCGACCTCTAAACTTATTACTTTATTTTCTTGTGATACACTCTAAGCACATTTGTTTCATTTTTATTTTTATTCAAGCGAAATGCAAGTGTTAATATTAATTTAAAAAATTTGAAAATAGAAGTCATAATTCGTTGAGTTAACTCAAATTCAATAACAATGAGTCATGAACAGGAACCCAAATTTATTCGAACTTGAAGTCACCAAATCCGACTTGATCGACTGATTTATCAGCTGTGACACATATTGAGACTTTCAATTCATACATCTCCCAAATGATTTCACACTAATGAAGTTGGGTGGAATCATTCTTTCATTATTGTGTCCCAGTCGGTTTGTTGCATTTCGACCCCATATGTACTTTAATCATTCTTTTGGTTACAAAATTTGGTCATTAACTATAAGATTCACTTACACGGTGCACTCAATCGAGAACTAAAAAACAAGAAGCTACGACCTATAAGTGGAAAAAGATCCATTTTTCTTAAACACATTATAAACCACTCACTCCATTACAAAAAAAGGAATTTTTTTTAAAATTAATAGGAAAGACAAAAGAAAATTGAAGAATAATTCTAATAAGAAAGAAGAAAAAATTATGGGAAAGAAAGTATTTAAGTTGATGGGCATGCAATGTAAGATCTTTGGCCCTCACCAGAGATTGTTTCGACTCAATTGTACATCTCATTTAATATCATAAAAGAATACAGGTGGTATACATCAACTTTTTTTAAAAAAATTAAAAACAAAATAATTGAAAACACTAATATCCTCATATTCAAAAACAAAAATAAAAATCTACAATTTTCAGAAGATGATTTTTTTTAAAAAAAAAAAGTGGTTGAGAACTCAATCAACGTGTTAGAATCTCCGGCCACCAGCTTACATTTCCTGTACGAGAAAAAAAACATTGCATGTGAGAGACAGCACTCTTAGGTCCCAAAAGTTCAATTCATACATCTCCAATGTCCTGTTACTTGAATGCACAATCCAAAATTCATACCTGGAGAGTGGTAAAATGTTACATCGATTCACGTTTTCACGTACTCCACGTTGTTGCGTTTGCGTTTGTTCGATCTCGAGAGGAAGCATCTCTGCGTCCACGACGACTTCTTCTGCTTCGCCGGTTGCGACTTTACATCCCTTTTCGCGTACACATCTCCCATGTACTCAACAACCGCCTGAACATAATAATCAAAATCATCACGAGAGAGAAACAAACGTATGAGTTTCTGGTTGGATTGGCTGTTCATTGACATGGTATCAGAGTCTTGTTGACCTAGGGGATCAGAAAATGGAATGGACATTTTTTTTTGAGAAATTTACCTAAATAGGACTAAAACATAATGACTTTTTCAATATAGGACCATATGTTTTTATTTTCCAATGTAGGAACTTTGGTCATTATCCATTAGTCATTATTCAAGTAAATGATGTCTATCATTACTGGGACATTATTTCTCCCACTAGACATTATTAAGTCATATTTAGAGAATAAAAAAGTTTAAGTCCTACATTGGGAAATGACTTATGTTTTAGTCCTATTTACTGCAAATTTTACTTTTTTTTACCTGAGCTCCCATTTCCACTATGTTTCTAGGTGGAACTTCGAGCGGATTTCCTTCGGTTTTGAGAATTCGTAGCTTCGACAGCATCCTGAATGAGTCGGGCAAGTTTCGGATTTGGTTGTTACTCATATCCAATTCCTCGAGCATTTCGAGGTTTCCGATCGACCTCGGGAGGCACCGGAGGTCGGCAAAGTTGTTACTAATGTTGAGCTTTACAAGTGTGGTTACTAAGCACAAGCTCTCGGGAACGGATTCGATCTCGTTGAAACTCACATTGAGTTCCTTCAAGCTTCCCATTGATGCCATTGTGGTGGGCAATTGCCTCACATTGTTGTACCTCAAAGACAGTATCTCCAGAGCTCCCATTCTCCCCACGGCTTCGGGCAGAGCTTTGAGTTTGTTGTAGTCTGCCCGAAGCTCGGCGAGAGAGGAGCACTGGCTGATGGTGTGAGGAAGTTCCTCAAGATCGTTAGTCTCCACGATCAGTCGTCTGAGACTGGAGAGAGAGCCAATTGTTTCTGGGAGGTTAGAGAGGGCATTGGAGCTCAAATCGAGTTCTTCAAGACGGCTTAACTTGCATATGGAGACTGGCAATGACTTTAGCTGGTTCCCACTCAAGTCAAGGTAAACCAAGGTGAGAAGGTTTCCTATGGAGTCCGGGAGGTCAGCGATCCGGTTTGAGTGCAAATCGAGTTTCTTGAGGGACAAGAGTGCTCCGATTGATGAAGGTACGGACGCAATCCGGTTTTCGGATAAATCTAAGGTGATCAGACTCGTTAACTTGCCTACCGATTCAGGGAGCCAGTCAACCTGATCAGACAACTTGTTCTTTAGAATGAGATGATCTTGAGTTCCTCTCTTGGCAGTCAGCTCAATTAAACTGGCAAGCTTGATCAAGCTCAGTTTCTCACCATCTCCACCTATCATGTTGTTCATCATTGCCATACATCAGTAACTGAGAAGCTCTCAGAATTTAGAAAAGCATTAATGAAATGTAATTAAATGATGGAGTATTTGGAAAAAGAAGCCTTGGTTTCCACTTTTTTGGGTAAATGCTCAAAATGGCTCAAGTGAATCTAGGAAACTTTTGAAGTTGTAGCTGAAATGACTGATGTGGTCACATCTGATACAGAGTAAATCAGTATATATTCAAAAAAGTTCAAGAAAATATTATCTAAAAATTAAGATAAAATTATAAACTTCCTCTCATCCATAAACATCTTCAAATCAAGTGATATAAACAACTAATCTTCACTAAACAGCACAGTAAAAGAAAAGAATGGATAGAAACTCACTTGGATTAGTTGCAGGCTTTAAAGTGGAATCAAGAATCATGGATGCAGCAGGTGCATAATCAGGTCTTCTACCAACAGCACCAATTCCATCCATATGAAAAGCAGTTTTGGACTTCTTCAAAAAGCTGTCGTCTTTACTGTGAAACTCGGAGGTCTTCATCAGATGCTCTCGGTCGCTGTAAACCCCGGATAGTGGCGGAGCGGCGGTGGTCGCCGGAGACCCGAAGCTGCTGCTGGACATGGAGGCCGAAGTCGCCAGAGAAGACAAGCTGCTGGAATTCAAGCTGGAGGAAGTGGAGGGAGCATATGGGTGGGAGGCGGCGGAAGGCAAGCACTTGGAAGCTCTCTGAACCAAATCGTCGAACACATAGTGAGCATGCTCGAGATCCAGCAGTTTCAGGGCTTCCTTCTTCTGCTCCTTGCTTTGGAAATCAACCATAGCCCTCTGCATTTCCTGCAACACGCTGAACAGTTCTTCGGGGACGTCTTTCCCTCTCCTCTGCCGCGCGATCGAGTCGAGTTTCTGCAGATCCTCCCTCTCCACGGCGGCGAGAAATGCCTTGGCCGCCTCCACCTCCTCCACTCCCGGCCGCGCCGGCAGAGATCTATGAAGCCTCATCACCTCGTCCACCACCTCCTCAGTAGACAACATTGCGTATAATTTTCCCCCAAGAAACTTAAACAAAATCACAACTTGAGGAAACAATTACTTAATGCTTCCAAATAAAGCTAAAGCCTTCCAAGTTCTGCTTTTCAAAACCAAACCCAGAAATTCTTCCTCTCTTTTCTCTTCTAATTAAATGAAAATCCAAAGGAAATGAATACGGGTAGGAATCTTTCTACAGCATCGTCATTGCCCACGTCATAAAGTTCAAACTTTCTTTAAGGTAAAGGAGAAGTAAAGATGGGTTTGTTATCTTTTTCAGGCTTTCAGAAGGGATTGCCTTTATTGATACCATCAACATTCAACAGGAAGGGAAGAACTGAAGAAGAAGAAGAAAATAGTTTTTTTCTTTTTTATTTTTAAAGAAAATTGTAAAAGAGTATCCAAGAAAGATGAAAGGGGGAGTGGATCATACATTGAGTTCAACTAAAAAGAATGGGATTTTGAAGGGTTTTTAAATGGAGAGTGGATAGTGTAAATCATACAGCTAGCTACTTATACATATGACTGGGCAAATTCTTGCATTCATGTCATGTGTCTTTAAAAAGTCATTATCTCATCCCATAAACAACATCTTAGTATTGTTATGACTTTTGACCCTTTTTAATTTTTTTTATAGTAGGAGTAATTTTTTAATATAAAAAACACAATCCTTCCTAGACTTGGCAATCCGATCAATCAATTCAATTAGTCCAGTTTCGGTTCAAATTTGTTCGATTTATTTTAAGTACACGTCATAACCAGTTTAGACCGATTTGGTTTGGTTCAATTTGGGTCAAAGTTTGATTCAGTTCTTCATATTCTTTTAGTTTGATTCGGTTACGGTTTGGTTTAGATGCAACTTAGGTACATATCAATTTGGGTAGATGTCAATTTGGGCACAGAGTCCCTTGAAGAGCTTTCTGCTTGGATAATTAGGAGAGATACAAATTTGTATTACTTTGAGATAATTCAGGAGTCGATTAAGATTAAAATTTAATCAAGTATGTTTCTTGAGAAAATTATCTCAAATGAGACTAAAATATGAAACATTTACATAAATAGGACATTTTTTAATCTTTACCACAAATGATTTATTTAGTCATATTACGGTGCATTTCATATTTTCAGTTCTACTTTTACCATTTTTTTCTTTCTTTTTATTTCTAAATTAGTTCATTGATAATCGCCGAGTCATTTACTATATTAACGACAAGATCGTAATGCTTGTTAGTCGATTTGCCCACACTTAGAGAGAGTGAATAAAGTATTTAAAAACTTTTCAGAATAATAAAATATTCTCCCGTCCCATAAAGATCTTCATGTTTACTATTACGGTCTCTCGATAACTCTTACGTAGTATTTGTTTGCATGCTTTCATTGATCATTTGATAAAACAAAATATTCTTGACATCTCTTAGTCTGTAGAGTTTTTGATGTAGTTTTAAAAAAAAATTTATTTTTATTTCTTTACCAATTTGTAAATAAAATCATTGTAAAAGTCACATGGTTTTGCACGTTGATCAAAGAAGGAAATTAATTTAGAGACGGAGGGAGTAAATGTTACTCCCTCTGTCCCATTTTATATTACCCGTTTTGAATTTGGGGCATATTTAAGTAGGGGAAAAATGATGTTGACTTTCCAAAAATGCCCTTACTTTTTTAGGGATATGACGATGAATGAGAATATAAGGTGGAGAGGAGTTGCTGATTTTAGGGGCAGTTTAGGTATTTTACCCTTAAAATTTTACTATAATATAAAACAGACAACTTATTTTGAAACGGGCAAAAAATGAAAACATGCAATTCAAAATGGGATGGAGGGAGTAGTAAATGCATAAGCAATGAATAAAACATAAAAATAAAACTGTACAAATAAGAGGCATACCAAGTTTATACTGGTTCGAGAACTCACTACTCGAGTACTTTAAGGTTTTTTCTTAAGGATTTCTGAATCCATTTAGTCCCGGTCTCTTGAACTCCGTCAAACCCACACTTAATTTTGACAAACAACCCTTACCAATAGGATTCATCCGAGATTTCATAACGGCAATCTTGAACGGCTTACAATTGTATCCAGCCTCGTCTGCCCACACATCCAGTGCAACATTCAGATCCATGTAGCATGCAGACTCTGCACGTGAATTTTTTAACCACCCAACACTCTACTCCATAAAGTATTATTAATCTGACTACAGCCCTGTAGAACTTGCCTTTCTTCTTCGGCTAAATCTTCTTACCCGCACAACACTCTTAAGTCAACCTCCACTTAGCCCAAGTTGCTCCAATACAGTGCACAACATCCCCGTCTAACTCACATCTGCATGAATTACCAAGCCAAGATTTCGAGACTTGTTAACTTTGGGCACTAGGTGAGAGTCAAGCCTCACTTCCATCCTTGACTCTGTCTCCCGGCTACTGAAACGACATTCCATGTATTCAGTCTTGGTCCTATTAAGTTTGAATTCCTTGGTCTCCAAGAAAAAGCGTCAAAGTTCTAACTTATCATTTAGGCCCTCGCGTATATCATCCGTAAGGTTTATCAAGTGACGCCAAAATCTTTGTAAGGTTTTAGAGTGTTTCTTTTTTTTATTAACATTCTTTAAACTGATATAAACTTACATAAAAAACAATGAATTGAACCCTAATAAGATTTCCTTGCTCGAAACTCAACTGAAATCTTGAGCAACAAGTAACTTGGAATGAGCATGGGAAATTAGAATGTTCCCCTCTCCTCCCTTTCCAAAAGGTCACATGTTCCTCTTCCCTAGGATTGAAGAGAAAGACATAACTTAGTGATCGATAAAGAAATCTTGAGCAACAAGTACACTTTCTTTCCTATCGATAAAGAAATTGTCCTCTTTTCACATGTTTTCTTTTTCCAATGCAATAAAAAAAATTCACCTGTATTAATAACTGTGTGATCGATCACGTGTAAATTTTTTTTACGGGAGACAAAGAACACCCCTCTCATATCCACCCTCTCACTACATTGAGGATAAATTTTCCACAAGTTAAAAAAATTTCACGTAGAAAAAAAAAAACCCAAAATAGGATCAAAAAAATCAAAAAAAAAAAAAATCAGGCACAGCAAATTTGGCCACCGTTGGGGAAAATAGGCTGGCCTCACATGCCCCTGCTTTCACCTGTCTCTCCTTTGATTGAGAGAATAATAATAATAATAATAATGACCCAATCAACGGCTCCGGCGTAAATGATCACAAATTTATATTCCATAGGAACGGGAAGTAGTAGTATACGGAGTATTTACCTTGTGGGGGCCCACTTATTCGTTTTCTGGATTTTGTTCAGCTCTGGATAAGCCCATAACTCTCATTCTGGCCCATAACGAGTGGATACCACGAACGGAACCTTCAAGTACCCCCGCCCCCCCATTAGGCAATGTCATGCCAGCTCTTCAAATGTGGCCACTGATAAATAAATGAATGGACCATGCTTGGTGACACCAAAGATATACACCAAGCTCACACCGCCATTTTTTCTACTTCACAAACATAATTTATCGACTATCCCAATTGTATCCACAATGTATAAAAAAACGAGTGACATAAACTTGGTGTCTTTGGTATACAAATAGTTTAGTTTAGTCTTGAATGAGTGTGGTTCTTTTGAACATTAGTCCCCAAATGTTGTATTATGACATTCGTCGATTTAGGATACTTACAGTGTTTCGTTAGGCCCGAAATGGTTACTCTCCCAAACATCCTTTACTCTTGCCAATTGGCAAAATGTAAGAGGTCGAGGTGGGAGCAAGGGAGAGTGAGAGTAATCACTTCCGGGCTCAACGAAATATCGTAGATTCGTAGGTATCCAATGTCTTAATATGACATTGAATCTCAATGTCAAACAATTATTCCCCGTTTGATACTTGGCCAAAACAGAAAGTAGTTAAATGTCTAGCTGGTCCACATTCAGTCTTTGCTCAATTTTGTACATCTACAACTCTTTCGAAATCCAGGACAATCAAAAAAAGAAAGCGAGAATAAAGATGTAAGACAGATAAAGAGATGTGTTTTTAAATTTTTTTATTAATGATGATGATGATGATGATGATGATAATAATAATAATAATAATAACAATAATAATAATAATAATAATGATAATAAAACCTTACATTGAAAAGCAAATAACACGGGAAGAAATGAACCATCCCCAAATGTTTGTAAGATTCAAAGAAGTGAGAGGGCACCATCCCCTTACATAGGCACTACACTATATAGTCAAAATTCTTCCCTACGAAATTTGTTATACTATTTGGGGAGAGTTCCTAGAAGAACATTAGACTTACAAGAGTTCTGAGACTTTGATGTTTCCTTCCAAAAGCTTCTGTATAGTACTACCTCCACGGGAAGCTTGCAACTCCAGGAGGACTGCTAGTTGAAGGTTCATGGTGGTGCTGGTTAAGTGGCGGAGGGCTGGCAGGGCCTCCTCCGCCGCCGCTGGATGCGCTTAATGACCCAAAGGAAGGCGGGCTTTTGGCTCCCGAGACAGGCAGCGCACCCAGAGAAGGTGGAGTGATCTGCCCTTCAGGATGGCCTGGCTTCTGTACCTGTTCAACCTCACCCATGCTGAAACACCCCACAATAACCTGCAGCATCAGATGAAGAAGACAAGTGTCAAGTGAAGGCTCTTACAGGCGGCAGATGACTACTTAAGAGTATGTGTCGACCTGAACAGGAGCTGCTGCAATCAGAAGACCAGCAACACCGCCGCCTATAACATTACCGTCTGGCCCTGCTAGAGAAACACTCAACCTGCCTGTGCGTTCACCACCTGCTTCAGAGAATAGGAAGGAGCCAGAAAGAGACAGGATTTCAAACCGTCCCTGTATAACCGCTGAAATAATGAACCTCTTGTGCAATGGAATAACCAAATCATTTACACCGTAATGCCATGTACCTATTAGTACTCCATATATACTGTGAAGTAACTGAATAGGTTTTCTATTAGTGTAAACTTGAATCACATATGCATAATTGCATATGATTACATTTCATTACGCCTTACCAAACTAAACCATGGTTTTTTTTAAAAAAATACACAAAGCATGCTCTCATAAAAAACATTTCATTCTTATCCTGTGTATATGCTTTCATCAAAAAACATGACCTAAAGTCATAAACAACAGATATAAAATGATGAAGGCATTTAAGTCTGTTTAAAATTGTGCGGGCTGTTGAAATCTAACTTTATCCAATGAGGGTGGTAAAAAAAAGAAGCATGAGTACATGACAATGGTACAAACCTCATATGTCACAGACCCACGAGCTGTTGCTGGTTGACGGAGTGTTACATTAGATATGGCACCACTTGCTGACATAACACAGACCGCTTGTGACGCATTTTGAGAAAATGACATTAGTTTTCCATGTACATCCTGTCAAGAATAGCTAGAAATACTGAGTGGGATGTTTAATCACCAAGTAACAGAAGCATAGTCCAAGCATAAGAAGCATTTAGTGGAAGGTGTGGTGTAGTTTCTTAAGCAAGTGTATCTTATTGGATCATGCTACTGCTTAATAAAGTTGCATATTGAATTGCATATATAAATCTTAAGAATAACTGTGGAGAGTAATAGCGAATGAACCGTTGGGATCGACCATGTTCCATCGGTTCAGGTGCTAATGGTTAAGGTGAGCCAACCACACTGGTATACTAAACCTGCCTACTACACTCTCTTCTCAATATGATCCTCAAGCTTCTGTTGTTCTCTCCTCTTTCTCAGAAGCACACACAAAACACTAAGAGAGGCACCCAGGCACACTCTCACTGAACACAGCACACAAAGACTTATCACACACAAACCACTAAGGCTCTCACAAGAGTCTCGCACACACAGTATGGTCAGACACTTGGCACACTTGCACTTACACCACGCCACACAAAAGGGGTTTATATAGGTACAAAGCAAAGGTAAGGTAACAAAATGATAGGGAACAAGGTAAATCGGATTAGAGATGGAAGTGGGGTGCTGCAGTTGCAACTTAAACAGAAGTAGAATGGGGGTAACAAAAACAGAAATAAAAAATGAGACAACAAAGCTACTCAAAATTAGGTAAGTAGTAGTATTCACATGTACTGCCCTTATCAACTGGGCCATATCTTAACCTATTTCCAATAATGACATAAAAAGGACATTATTGTCTCTGCTTCCAGTTGGCACAAACTAAAGTTCTACAATTTAGCGAGAGAGATGTGTTTGATTAGCCAGGGAAGAAAAGTAGATAATAATTAGAAGTCAAATCATTGCAAAGCACCAATAAAGCCATTGGAAATTCATAAATACAACAAAATACGGAGTAGTTAATACCATGAAACACACACGTGAATGAATAGAAGACACTAAAGCTGTTGAATTCTACAGAGCACCAATGAGAGCCATTGGCAGTTTATGGTTAAGAAAAATGCATGGGAAATGCATCATGGATACATTTTTTTAAAACTAATCTTAGAAACTCAATTAGAGCCAAATTGGCAGTTCGTGAATGAAACATTGTGAACATGATATGTATATAGATGATGAAGAACACCAAATCACACACCATAAAGAGAGAGGCTGGGGTGAGATGCAAAAAATAGAGTAACAAAACCATACCTCCCCAGCTTTTATTGTGATGACATGTGGTTTAAATCCATACCCAGCTCCTGCCGATCCTGTGGATATTTACATATTATAAGTGGCCTTAGAGATGTACTATAACAATAAAGGACGTCAATAACATATATTGCACACAGCTACACTCTTTCTGTGATAACGTATGAAGATGGTGGCATGGAAAATGACAGATATCACAATAACAAAAAAAAACTTTCCAAAGTCTCTCTGCAATAGAAATGGCTTCTCAATTTTAAAAACAGAAAAAGTAAAACAAAATCTAAATCCCCACAGATGCTTTTATCACAAAAAAGGATGAACAGATATCACAATGACAGATATCACTCTTTCTGTGATAACCTATGAAGTCGTGGCGTGGGAAAAGACATATATCACAATGACAAAAAAAACTTTCCAAAGTCTCTCTGCAATGGAAATGGTTTCTCAATTTTAAAAACAAAAAAAGTAAAACAAATCCAACTCTCCCCAGATGCTTTTATAACAAAAAAAAATGAGTCCCCCATTCTAGGGTACCGGCCCGGTCAGTAGTTTGAAAGCAAGTAAATTGAGTCTTAATCCGATAAATAAGGAGTGCACTACAGATCCTTTTATCATTCATATGGTATGCAGGTGATCCTTGTGAGCCAGGGTCTTTCAAAAGCACCATCCCTACCTTTTATAGGTAGGTTTATGTACCCCTCCCCCAATAATTTGACTATAAAATGCCATATCCTATGCTGGAGGAACAAGAAGAAGAAGCAAACAGAAATATTCAGCTGGGCCAGAAGCAGATATTTTCTGGGCCAATAAAAATATGTCAGCAAGGAAGAAGACAATGGGAGAAAAGGCCAATATATTGAGGCCTTCGTACCCACTGAAATAATGAAATTAGAGGCCAGATGAAAAACTTTTTTCCATTTTCCCCATAAAAACAAACAGTTTTATTGAATATTTTTACAGCTTCGTATTCTCCATCAAAAGTATTTAAGTATTACCGCATTTTCTTAACAATAATTTAAATAAACATGCGACTAGACATTAAACAAAAGGAATAAAAAGACGAAGCATTATTAATATCAAGCACATGAGAGGAAATGCAGATTACAGGGAAAAATACCTAAATAAGCTCCGGCCATTTGGTGCTTTCGCCCAGAACCAGAAGGCCTGCCCCTCGACTTCTTCTTAGGAGACGACGCCATATCCGCCCCGTGCGTCCCAGTTGGGGACAAGGATCCACCGGTGGAACTCACAGAAAGAGGCGGAGGAGACATTACGCCATGGAGTGCAGTCCCGTCGGGAGCGTACTTCCGTGGCCTTCCTCGCTTTTTCTTACCCGGTTCGGTTCCGCTAGGTTTGAGATCGGGGGGACCTGAATCCGTCAGCGGCGCATCTACACCGCCGTACCCGGCGGATACCTGGTAAGAGTGCGGGGGAGAGGAAGCCGGCGGCATCATATCGCTGTACGGTGGCGAGCCATCCTCTGCGAAGGTTGATCCAAGGTTTTGCACCGTCGATTGAAATCCATTTGATTCTCCTTTCTCTGACATGAGTAATTTCCCTTTTTTAATAAAATTACACTCCGTAAAACGATAACAGTATGAAAAGAATATTCACGTTGCGTGTCAATTTATCAGTAAAAAACAACTTTTCTAAATGGACCATGCTACACTTACACCAACAAATATATTCCATTTGTACACCACAGATTTGTACACCACAGGTTTGTACAAATATTTCGATGGTTTACACTGACACAAGTATTGGTACGTTAATAAAAATAAACACAGACACAATTGTTGGTGCGTTTAACAAAAATTAGTTTTACACCAAAACAAAATGTTGGTGCAAAACTGCGGGTACAAATCTTGGGGTACACATAGCATAATCCTTTCTAAATTTTACGCCTGCACTATTTTTAGGTCTAAAAGCATGGTACGAAATATTTTGATGGGTCATGCTAGAGTCTCCGAATAGTTGCTATGATACACTCATGTTTAATAATCATCTGTACCGAAAGCATAATGCACTTTTGGTAGCAATCATTCCATGGCACCCTAGCATTTTTTCCAATTTTGATTTAGTACGTCGAACCGATCAGATTCTTGTTTCGAAATATAGGTTTGGAGTAGGCCCGTTCACAGGCACAAATATCTAGCCCTTTTGCAAAATAGCAGTCTTGCGCTTGATATTTTTGGGGTATGGGTCAGACTTAGGCTTTATAAATGGCGATCCAAATATTTTAAGGCTGAAATTGGTTTTTATACTCAAGCCCACGGGACGGGCTGGGCCGAATGTACCAAAATATTTATTATTAGTTTAATTATAATAAAATAACAATAACAACATTAATACAACAATAAAAAACAATACTAATTAAAATTATTATAAACACATGTACATAGTTCTATGAATAAAAAAAGAGAATTACGTATACTTAATAAAGGGCATGTTTGGTTTTGGCATTTGGGACGGCTTTTGGCTGTTTTGATCCATTTTAACGGATTTGACTTGTCAAATTGTCAAAAAAGGTGTTTGGTAGTTGGATACAAAGGTTGGCTGTTTGAGCCCAAAAAACTAAAATTTAAAAAGCTACGGGGAGTAGCATTTGAGTTTGGGTGTTGAAAAATAGATTTTTTATTATTTGTTATTGTATGTAATTTTTATGAACAAATAAAAAATTATTATTAATTGTGTAATTAAATAAAAAATTGGTATTCAAATAAATATATAAATAAAAAATCGATAAAAAATAAATAAGTAAAATAATAACTAAGAAAATAAATAAGTAAATAATATGTATATAAATAGGGAAATAAATAATAAATAGTCTTTCCCCATGTAAATTTCATGAAGCGATCTGCGAGAAAAAAAATCTGATTTTTTAAGATTTTGGTGTAGAAATAAACAAATTATAAATTTAAGAAATACATCAAAAAAATTTGAAAAAATATATGATACTCCGTATAATTTTATTATTCTATCAATTGATTGATAAAAACACATAAATAAATAAAATCATAATGACTTTAGAATAATATATAGCTTAAAATTTTATTTGAGGAAAGAAAGAATATATATTCCAAAGCATGTTATACCATATAATTATATAGGTGAAAATTTCATAAAATTAAATTCAATTTATAAAAGCTATTTTGAAGAAGCTAAGATTGCCAAACATTTTTTATCAACAGCCAACATAATCGATTGGTCAAAGTAGCCAACTCAACCAGCCGTTCAAACTAGCCAACACGAACAGCTATCAGCCAACCGCCAACAGTTAAATCCTAAACAGGGCCAAAATGATTACATCCTTATTATCCCGTATTGTTTACGATGTATCACAAATTGATAGTGGTATTCCAATAAATAATATTTCGTTCTCCGTAGAACAATAGACTTTGAATAATTTAAAAAATTTCTCCCGCCTCACTAGAAGTAGTTTCAGCCGTATTGCACAACAGATTGAAATATTCTCAATTTTGACACTTTTTTTTCTTCTTTTTAGGCGGAGTGTAAATTGATATTATTATTATTATTGTTAAAATTTCGATTGGTGGAGAATAACGAGTGAGTATCGAATAAAATTAACTACTTGAATATATAAAGTTGAGATTCAATATTCTAACTCAAACGCTTAAACTGATAATATTTATTTTTATTTTTCGATGTGAAAACTACAACAATTATTGATTACATGTTGTTTTTGAGTAGTTTTGTTGGGTGTAAATTTTTTTGTTGAACCCAAATGTACAATCTTTATTCACCAAGCACGTCGAGAGTTACAAAACCAATCAAAACACGACATCAATGAACTTCTTCATTCTCAATTTAAGTTGATACATGTTTACTATTTATAGAGTCAAATTTTAACTACATACTATTCATTTGCACTTCGTATTTGATAAAATAGTACACCCTTACCACCTCTTATTTGTAAATCTTTTGATTAATTTTAAAATACGAAAATTTTATTTTTTAAATTCTGCACCAATTTTAAAATAAAATGTATTAAAAATAATTTTAGTCAAACCTCGAGAACAACATTCGATTTGAATTGGGACAAAGAAAGTGCTCCACTATTTTTCTTATAGACGAGAAAGGAGAGAAAGATGTAACAGCTGAATAAGACCATGTCTTATGGGACGTTACCTGCGCCGTGGATTGCCCAGTAACGCCCCCAAGCCGTGAGCATGGCGACAATCGGGCAAGACGGCGGCATTTCGGGCTGGGCCTGACCGCGACCACTGGCATTGCCAGCTTTCCAGCTGTTTAAAAATTATTGTTTTTTTAGAGTCTAACGGTTAGTTATAAATTGTATAAAAGTGGTGTGCCAAAGTTTCGAGATCGACGTTCCAAAAGTAGAAATTTCAAACGGTGAAAGAAATGAAATTCGCACGGAAGTCTGAGGAAGGGAAATACATAACATGCTTAAAGGACATTTGGTCAAGCATGTTGGGAAAAACCGAGATGTCAACGAGTAATTTTTATTTTTTCCAGGATGAATATTTTTTTATGTATTGTATTAACAAATTACAGGGCCGGCCCCAAAAAAATGAAAAAATAAAATTGGCCCGGTCCGAAATTTACATTTTGTGCCCTATTTTATATTTTAAAAATACTTTTGCTATAAAATTATTAACAAATTTAAAAATATGGTGCCCTAAATTTTAAAGGGCCATGTGCGGTTGGCCATTTTGCACACCCTCCGGGCCACCCATGTAACAAAATTCCGTTGTAATTTTTTTATATATTGTAAAAAAAAGTTTGGTGTCCATTGTAATTCTTTTTATGTATTGTTTTAAAAAAAATTCCTTTTGAAAGTATATCATTCAAAAAATTTATCTACAAAACAAAAAAAAACAAAAAAAAAAAGTCAAGCCCCCACCATAACATACCTTCATGTGATAGGGCTTGATAAGAGGAACAAACCACATAGCACCTACATGGCTCTGGTTAAGCCTCCATCAAGCCCATGATAACACATGATCTAAAGATTTATCACTTGCTTGGTGAATAAAAATTTTACCCGTACGCATGCATCATATCATTTCTAACTCGTCAAATATAAATTATACCATTTATACTCACACCCTCTTTGAATCATTTTAGTTAACTTTTCAGTCTTTAACAACAATTTGATTATTAATATCTTTATTTTAAATAGATACATATTAAATGTAATATTTCAAACTACACTTCAATATTAATTTATTGATATGCAGTTTATATCACTATTCAAAATATCTTATCCATAATTTAAAGTTAAAATTTTAAAAAATTCTCTTAAAAATCAAACAGAAAAGTCTATATATAGTTAGCAATCACTCTGTCACATGGTTTAACCAAAAGATAAGTGGAACCTTAGGGGATTAGTTTATTCGAAACTCAGTCAAAGGCAGCCCCATCTAGTATTCTTTTGGGCTTTTCTTTTCGTGACGTCCAGAAGTTGTATTTTCGTTTTTTTGGCAAACTCTTCACACTAAATTCTCTATTCTACCCCATCTATTATACAATGGGTTGTGCCTAAAATTGGGTACAACAGGTAAAAGGAAACGAAAGACACATGGGACAATTGAAGTTCGGCGAAGGAGGAAAGGAGCCGATGAAGGGAGGGTGACAAACGAAGAAGTTTGGCTAAGGAGAGGTGCACATAACTACAAAGGGAGGACAAAAATCGCGAAGAGCGATGGTGGCAAAAACTCTAGGTGGAGAAAACGATGGAGAAGGAAGATCCAAGGACCAGGTGTTGGTTGCTGCCGTGTTACAGATCCAGATGGCCGTGTGGAAACCCTATGGCAGAATATGAAGATTCGAGAGGAGAAGAAAGAATTACAAATTGAGGTTTGAATGGAATGAGCGGCAAGTTAGTTGAGAATGAATACTACTTTATTTGAGAATGAAAACATCTTTGTTTAAGAATTAAAACTATACTATTCGTAAATGAATATTATAATTATATTAAATAATATGTGAAATGAGTAATACATTATTTCAAAATTAATATTACGTTAATTCAGAATGAGTATCATGCTATTTTAAAATGAATACTTATGTTAATGCGAAATGAGAATTACTTTACTACAAAATGAGTACTACCCGATGGAAGCATATGTTTTGTACAACCGATTGCACAATATACTTCTCTGTTTAATCTAGTTATACTCTCTCGCTTTTCTTTTCAGTTTGTTGAGAAATTTTATTTCCATGTCTTTTTTGGTAAAAACTTAACACGAAATTCTCTATTTTACCCCATCTAATTTAACTAATTCAATCTCCCCAATTCCNTTTCCTCCATCCATCACCTCCTCTGTTGGCTAATTACTTAGTAGGATTAGGGTTACCCAAGATATTTTAGTTTGAGTAAGAATAGAATTATGAGTCCTAAGATTAATTTACTTACTTGTTGACCAAGTTCGATTAATACTATATATATCATAGTCAAGTCTTGGATTTTGATATGAGAGCCATATGAGATTTATATGAGAGTTAGTGTTTTGAGTTATATTTTTCTAATTTAATAAAAACTAGTTCTAATCAAATTGTGTTCTACTTGGAACTTTAAATTCAAGATCCTCCTCCTCCACCAATATTCCCCTTTCTCTACCTTCTTTCTCCTCTGCCATTTGCCCATTTCCAAACCTTCTTCTTTGCCCTGCCCTGCTCGCCACCTGCAATTACCGCCAACAAAGTCGGGGTGCCTCAAAGCTTACTCATCTCCACCGATCTAAAGAATTGGGCCTCTCACCATTAGTACTGCTTCCCTCTCTCAAGGTGAATATAGCCTCTCACCATAACAACGACAAGAGTATAACTCTTTATATCCCGTAAAAATATGGTCTAAATATGTGTTACTCCATACAAAATTTAAAAAAAACTCTCAACGTCCAATACCCACGTTCGGACTCAAACCGACCAAGACCCGAACGGGAATGGGTCTAGTAACACAAATCGTAAACTCAACGTGTCTTGGGTTCGGGTAAGGTTCGATTATTTTTTAGTAGGTACGGGTTTGTAGCCATCCGTTCCGACTCATGCCCAACCCATTGACAGGACTAATCACAAGCTACACTACCACAACAGCCATTGTGATTAGACTTGAATAGATGATTTGCCTTGTATCAGTCAAGCATTGTAAATTTGTAATAGAGAAAATTAATGGAACGGAACTAAAATGTTAGGCAATGACAAAAATTAGGAAGGAGGATTAACTTGACTACTCCTTCAGGTACTTTTATGTGCAAAAAAACAACCATATCTCAGAATGAACTCTAGTTTTCTTTTCTTCAAAGAAAGAAAAAAGAAACTCAAAAAAGTTCATATAGAGTCTGGTTATAAACGCAACATAAGGAGCATAGAACCATCACAAGCAATGGGATACCTTTAGCCATACCTTCCGCGTGTTAGCTTTTACTGCTTTGCTGTACATGTGTTAGAATCTAAGTTGAGTGAAGGGGCCTGGTCAATCTGCACTTCGTCCGTAATTGGGGGTTTTCAAAAAAACAGGTGACCAAGCTCGACGTTTTCGACACCCTCTTCTAGGTCTCTGGGACATCAAACGCTCTTCCTGGCAATCCGGTGCCTCACTCATTGTCTTTTCGTCTCCGGAGAGCCTTATTGGGCCTGGATTTCACACGGCAAGAAAATTACGATGCTGACAGTGATTGAGTACGTAAAAGTAATATAACGACGTTACGCTATTATTGTATTTGAAGATTCTGGCAACTATTCAAATTCGAATATATAACGAATACTAATAACTAATTCTATTCATATTCATATCCGTTCTTCCAAATAAGAATCATAGTTTTTGAAGAAGAATAATGAATTGAATCAAAATTATTCGCTTCCTTAACAACACTCTGATCTTCTAATGGCTTGTGTTACAACTTATGAAACTACGGAGTACAATTTTAGTTTCAAAAATATTTTTACATGTATATTAGTTTATTTTCAATGAATACCAGTACATGTAATGTATTTATTTTTATTATGTACATATTTGTATAATTATATTTGAATATATATATTTTTATTCAAAAAAAAAAAGTATTCAGACATATTTAAAAACTTACCGTATTGAATAAATACATAAGGAGTATTTGAATTCACATTTGAAATGTAACAAATACTAATAACTAGTAAATATGATTCTAATTCATTTTTCCCAGGTATGAATCCTAGTTTTCGTATACGAATCACAAATCAAATCAAAATATTTGTTTTGTTTACAACCCTAGTTATGATTCTGACCTTGAGATGCAGGCTTGCCTCTTTCTGACGGTGTGTGGTCATTAGACTTACGGGAACGTTTCGAAGAGACTGTAATGACTCCATCCTCAACAGTCTGTTCAGGCATCTCACATTTACCACGAAACGGATACATAAAGCAAAACCTGTAACAAAACAGCACTAACAGTCATAAAAAACATGCTCACAAAACAGAAACCAATTGCAAGGCCATTGCTGCTTATAAACAGGGTAAACTTCCTAACAGAGGAATTGCATAAAGCAGTGGCATTTGAGCATCTTTGAGCTTAACGTGCAAAAGCGGAATTTAAAAAAAACACAACATACCAATCTAGAGGTAAAAGCCTGGCATCAAATGCAGGAGGCAGCATTCTCCACTTTCTACATTTGTCACACTGTACCCAATCATTATCAGGTTTGTAGTAACGGTTGCTTCTTTGCTGTTGCAAAATGAAATACTGTGTTAGAAGTCAACAGCCAAGCCCTAAGAGTATGTGAATGAAATCAAGCATTTTTATCTAATTTTATTTAATACGGCCATGAGAAAGAAGAGCCTATCACAAAAAAGTAAAGAATAGTAAGAGTAATCCATCATCACCAATAACAATTAAACCTTAATTCCAAATCACTAGGTGCAGGTAAGAATAACCAATCATCAATGGGGGAAGAAACAAAAGCATAAAAGATGAAGTTTAGTATATTCAAATATTAGAAAAAAAATTTGAACCACCGGGACCCCCTCCTACTCAACCGCCGGTGCCCCTCCTCCTCAGCTGCCAGCACCCCTACTCCTAAACCGTAGAGTCAATGTTGCATGAATCACCATGGATAGATCCATGGTGGTTGAGGGACTGAGGGACGAGGCAAGGATTAGATTTCTATTTGTTCTTCACCTAATGGTTCCAGAAAATGTATCATGTCTGGTTGACTTCAAAGAAAAAGAGGAAGGCAATTGAGTTAGATTTTGAAAAGAATAGTTTATGTGATCTGGGGAAGATGGGTTGATACCATTTGGGTAAGGAGATGGGCTGAGACCACTTGGGTAAGATGAAGATGGGTTGATGCGTGGTTGTGAAAAAAGGTCAAAGGGCATATATGGCACTTCTCATTTAGTTGCCATTGTTGGAAACACATAGAAAGATATAGAACGACCCAAAAAGGAAAATGAGAAGAAAGATATGGGAGCATAAAGCAATGCAGGAATGGGTAAGAAGAAAGATTGTCAAAAAGGTTGCCATTGTCGTCATGCAGTATTGAACCATTTTGATCTAGTACTGTCTTCCTTTGTTTACATGAAGGCATGAAGCTAAAACATTGTCAAAAATGACTTTTTCAGTTCCATTGGCAATGGACTTGATGTAATAAGAAAAACAATACATAAAATCCAACTAACCAATATCAATAACCAGTCAAACGATGAAGTATATAGCTTCAAAAAATATAGACTACAATGTAGTATATAGTAGCATACCAATTCCACTTTATCCACATGTTCGTCAATGTACTTATCTACTACTTCGCCCAACCACATCTCCAGTTCAACATAGGCCTCACAATCAAGAAACCCCTGCTTATTGTTATGCACCCAAACATGACCGCAACCATCATCCTACAAAGGTGGAAACACCAACATAGTAACTAAAAGCAAAAAATTAGGGAAAAAAGAATTGGTTACATTAAAATGTTGCATGCCAGGAATTTAATTGGTACTCCATATGATTGTAGTGTCACTCTGCAGCATTCCAGAGTGAAAGGGATCCACATTGCACACAAAAACAAAGTGGGGAACAAACCATCTTTTTTTGCATATGACAAGCTAAAAAAATCTTTTAAGGGAGATCCAGAAGCATTGTACATCATTTCTTCATAATATCAATCATAGTTGTTATGGCGACTAGGCGAGGCCGGGCACCAAAGTACCTTCTAGTCGCCTAGGCAATTTGGCATCTGCCTAGGCATCCATTAGGCAAGATGCAACGCTATAATATATTACGGAGTATAGTTTAAGAATTTATTGTACTCAAATAGAATCGCAGAAAGTTAAAATGTTAGTGAGAATCCATTCCATATTAATGAAAACGTAGATATTTTTAACTCTAGACATAGAAAGCAGTAGGTGCACATTACATATGATGCCATTTTGAAAGGAAACTACAGAAATGGAAGGTGTTAAAGAATTGATATTTACAAAAAAAGGTATATCTTAAATGGAGAGCTTGAAACAGGTTGCGAGCAAAGGAAGGGCCTATAGTGCACCATAAAGAAGTCAGGAAAGATAATGGAACCATAGAGTTAAAATCATTCAGAAATCTATTTCACTCTTCATCACAACTCCAAAATGCCAATATGCAGCAATGTAGCTCCAATTAGGGCGTAACATTGTACCACATTATAAGGTCCCCCATCTGTGCATCACAATTTCAAGAAAGAGATAAAATGAAACAACACAAAGTGTAGGTAGTTAGGCTGTACCATTATATTCTTAACTTCAATGACACCTATGATTCCACGACCTTTATCTCCGTTGTGAATCATGCTTCCAACTCTCTTGTAAGCCTAAAATTGCTCACAATGTTAATTGTTAGTTTCTAGATACTTGATGTCTAGGTTGATGTTTGATAATAGCAATTTGTACATACAATGCTTTAGGAGCTTATTTGCACCGAGATAGTCTTTAAGAAAGGGTTTGGTAAACGAATATCAATGACTAGATGTTGTCAACATTTATAGTTGCCTCAGTGTTATGTGTAATTTGAAGTTTTTGCAAACAATCTAATGAGATTATGAGAATGTCATCATTCAAATCTACTTTCCCTATTGTATTTTTTGTTTGAGCAACTGAAATCAAAACTAATATAATCGACTAATCACTTCAATTCCATAAATAAAGAGTACATGGGTAATAAACTCCAATGACCAGCACAGTACACTTGCTGAAAATTACAGACCAACAATCTATATCCTCAATTTAATCTTTCTTTATAGAATTGATCCCTCTACCACCGAAAACCTTTGGAAGAAAAAGTTATAATCAAGTTGTAGCAAATAGGCTAGCTCACTAACCTTAATGCATATTCATATGAAGGAATTAAAAACATATTCCCATGTATGTAGTTCCCCCATTATAAATAAAAAAATATAGATAAGTATTAGCAAAGCGCACCTCTATTAAACGGCCATGCCAATATAGAAAAATCCCACAATTAGCATTCTCCCATTCCATTTGATTGCGCCCCAGGGTAAGTTGAACTGGCCTTCCCAAAATATTACCATTTTCTACAACAGTATTATTAAGAGACCTTGCCAATGAGCAACTCTGAACCTAATCATAAAATAAATGATTAAATTTGTGTGTAATTACTCCGGAGCAAAAGTGTGAAGTTGCAACAAATAAACCATCAAACATAATGTTTCATCACCCATCTAAGAATACCTGTGCTCCTTGAACATACATCTTCATTCGAGGATCAAAAAAGATGACTTGTAGATAAGACTTCAGTGAATAGTCCAATGGCACCTAGACAAACACAATTGCTACTCAATACAAGAGAAATCTTAATTCCACACACACACACACATATAAATGGGAAATATAATAACAAACCATTTGAGTCATTTGTCCAGGTCGTGTTCTGATCCGTTTGTTATGTATGAGTATGTCACCTTGATGGAATGAACTTCCACCACTCATTCCAGGATCCCAGTCCAGGTTATAATTGGATCCCCATTTACTCAAATTCCATATATATATCTGTGTTCCCGTGCCATTTTCATTAAAGAGGCCCGTTTTTTCACCAATGAAATACTTATCAAACGGTGAAAATTTCTTTATGGTTTTCAAATTAGACTTCGCCAGGATCTCATCATGTGCTTTTGCATCCAGCTCCATCAGCTGCCCAGTTTTGCGGTAACTTATAATAGGAATTTCCAGATTCTAAAGCACAAGAAAAAGGAAATCCATCATGGGTTGATATAAGATGGAAAAGATATACAAATTGGTAGAGTAACATGATCAAAGAAAGTCCAAAACTATCATAATCAGCATACATCTTTTCCTTCATTTAATGATTGAGAGAGGAAAGCTATTGATCTTGAGTTTGTAGTCTGTGTAAGAACTAGAGCATCCTTCCCAAGTGCCATTGCCCCCGTCTGTACAAAGAATAGTCAATCATTCAATGATTTCTTATTATAAGTATATGTATAAGAACGAAAGCATCCCTCCTAATTCTTACTAGTTAATCCCCAGTCAGCAGAGAGAAATTTAAAGTATCATTTTTTAAATGGACACTTCTCAAACACAAAGGGAATTGTGTCCACAATGTTTTTTAGAAATAGCATATGAAATTTGAAACGAGTGATGTGAAACAAGTCCAACTCTGAAAATTTTCCTTTTTTAAAGGATAATAAGAGGGTATTACATCAGCACACACTCAAACACCATCACCAATAATGGGCAAGGCATACTATGTTAATCAACAACTTCACATAGTGCTATTATCCATGACTATCCATGGCTTACACAAAAATTACATAATGAAAGGGTACAATATAGTGTGGGTGAGTTACAAAATCAACGATCAATTATGGAAGATTAATAATAATTTACCTTAAAGCCAATACCAAACCTCCCAATGCGGTCAGGGTTATCTTCCTGTGGTTGTCTGTGCCCAAATGATATCATTCGCAAAATTTCCTGATGGCTCATACCACACCCATCATCGATAACGGAGAGCATAGGAACTTCCTTTTCAATAGATTTCAAATATATTAAACCAATAGAGATTTCAAACCTGCACAAAATTTATAGATAAACAGGGTAAATGAACATAGCGAAGATCGATTATACAAATAAGCCAAACTCATCACTGTGAAACAGTTCATTTTGTCCCATTATTAGCTAGCAAAAACCTTAAGGGCCAACAGTAAATGGGAGTTGGAATGAAATCAAATTCAGATAGAATTAAAACATAAATAAAGAGAAGTCAAAGAGACAAAGCGTTATGATTACTGACTTGGTTGCTTTTGCATCTCTTGAATTATCAACAAACTCTGCAATTGCACCAAAAACCCAACTAGAATGTGTATGACCTAGCGTCTTCAAATAACTTGGATCAGTGAGTGCATAGTTTTTTCCAGAAGAAACCATGTTCTCTTTCTTTTCAGGACTTGTGGTCATCGAGCCTTCAGCAGCAGTAAAATTTGAGATAGCAGCGTCACCAGAAGAGTTATGCCTACTCTGGGTGCAACTCTTTGCCGGTTTGAGTCCAGGTTTTTGAGTGTTTATTAGTGTATGATCATTCACAATTTTTTCTCCTAACATCAGAGGAATTATAGCTGTCAGAGTGTGTTATCCTGGTAAAGAGATTTTACTAGTCATTCATATTTAGCATTGATGCTTTTAACTCAATCTAGTTCCCTCTGTCCTGGGGTGTGTTTGCCCACAACTCCCTTCGGGATGTCCCAACTCCCAACATATTTGTCCGCAGTCTACTTAAGGCAAAAAAAATTGCCCTTGATCTAAATAAAATAAACACCCAAAAGTAAAGGCAAATTGGTCACATCTACCTCTAATTCCCTTCTCTTTGGTCCATGTGCCAAAAACAAGTGGACAAACACACTCGGATGGAGGGACTATATGACATGACAGTGAAGAAACAACTAGAGAGAGCTGAGAGCAAAAAGAAATTATATTTCCCAAAAGTGGAAAGAAAGAAAAACTAACCGACTGCATTATGCATTTGAGCAACAACCCCATGTGTGAAATCAGTGCTCCGTGCAGAAGTAAACAAGTAGAGTTCATAGATACCATGTTTGCATACAGCAACCTTCAAATTTGTTGAATATCACGAACCATTAGAGGTAACACAAATAAAAGAGATAACTATACAGCAAGGGGTTCAAAAAGGAAATAATAAAGAGAAAAGGTGAACCACTGAATTGGCCTTAAAACTATGATGAGAATGTTTAACAGAATTTCATTAGCTCATCCACTCACCACTCACCACCACCACCACCCCCCCCCCCAAACCTCGAGGTCAACTGCAAGGAGAAGCACGATAGGCAAACTAAACAATATTCTAATTGTAATATTTAATATACTATCATTCTGACAAATGACAGANCCAAAGAAATGTAAAGGTACATGATATTACTAGTGTGGCTTCTTAGAGTATAAAACTGTATTTTGTATGTTCCTCTAGAATTCTAGAAATACAAAGGTAAAAGAGGCATGCAGTGAAATAAAAATAATTGCGTAGTATAAAAATGTTATTTTCCTAATAGGGGCGAGATATTCACCCTCTCATTTGTTCGAAGGAAAGACATGAATTTTCCCCACTCATTTTGCTGATGAGAATTTTGTGGGGCAGGGTATAAAAAGAAACGGTGCAATCGAGAGAGAGACTCGACAGAACTCAGACGCACAATCTTCATTACGTTCCATGTTCCATGCCTGTAAAGAATTTGAAATTAATGGGCATCAAGTTTTGCCCTTTCAAAAAAGGGTGATGTGTGGATCATAGCAAAGTAAATTAAATACTGAAAATATTGATGTTTTGTTATGTAGAATTTCTAGGCTACAAAATACTCCCTACATCAATAAAAAATTGTCAATTTGTGCAAAGCAAAGCAAAATTTCATGTTTTTTTCAATTCATTTAATTTAAAGTTTGGTATAGAAATAAAAAATAAAACTTGTATATTCATTAACTACAAGAAAAGATCACAAAACAAGAGGTGACAAGAATATTTTATTTTATCACATAAAATGCACAAACAAACAAAAGTTACCGTAATTTTAGAATACTACAGAGTGATATCCTTTTAGGGACGGAGGGAGTAATTGAATGATGAACAAAGGGAAAACAATGGCCAAAATGCACATGCTTGGAAATGAAAGTCACTAAATATTTTGTTTTTATCACATAAAACGCACAAACAAACAAAAGTTCCCGTAATTTTAGAATACTGCACAGTGACATACTTTTAGGGACGGAGGGAGTAGTTGAATGATGAACAAAGTGAAAACAAAGACCAATGAGTTTGACACATTTTAAATATAATGAAGTTCCATAGATTCAAGTTTCGATTAAATATCAATAACACATAACTATCAACTCATATATGAATATATGGGTGTAATCCTACAAAACACTGCATCCAACTCAAACCAAACATTATTCTTTCCTTATTACATTGTCACAAAATAATGCTTGCATTTCCTTTACGTGAGGGACTCAATAAGTTAGGAGTGTGGTGTCATTCCTTGGAGTCCAAAGGGTTCAGATTGTGCAAAATAAAGGCTGCATTCCGTTCAACTTAATTTTTTCTCCTTATGACTTATTAGAATCAGATCTAATCCCAATCAGATAAATCCCAACCAATGAGATCAAATCTAAGCATATCAGATCTATTAAATCTATTTAATCTATCAAAAAATGTTGAAAAATAATATCAATATTTTGTTTATGATTAAATAATAATTACTATCAAATAAACCATGTTAAACTATTTAATGTTGCATATAATTAAATAATTACTATTATTACGATGTTATATATAATTAAATATTAAATAATAATAATCTTACATATGAATAAACAACTATTATTATTATTATTATTACAACTATTATTATTATTATTATTATTATTATTATTAAGTAATCATAACACTCCCTCCATCGCTAACTTATCATTTGCTTTCGGAAAATGTAAAAAACTTTATCTTTTTAAAATAATTTAATACACAAAATGGTATAGAAATAAAAAGTATAATTTACATCAATAAAAACTACATCAAAAGTTAAACAAAAAAATTGTGACATATTTATTTTATTTTATTAATCATCAATGAAAATACATACGCAAACAAAAATATTTTTAATAAAAATATTCTCATTGTCCAATTAAAGATTGGTCATTTTGTCTTCACGGAGAATGGAGATTTAAAAAATATAAAAATGATATGAATATTAAAATGTAACAGGTTAAATTTTTATAGAAGGAAGCAAAATATTTTGTACATAAACATGTCTAAAAATAGAAAGAGTGATTTTTTTGGGACATGTGCAGTAAGAATATTATGTGAACATGATTTTTAATACAATAAGTATGACATCTACATTTCTAACAATATTAGCACGAAATATATAAAAGTTATCATTTTGGTAACATAAAATTTGAATTTTCCAATGATTGTTTATTGTCAATGATAATCTTATTCTACATCTTTAATATATTACTCAACTAATTTTTTTTGTTTCATAAAGCACATAAATCAAGAATAAAAGTTATTGGGAGTATCATATATTGATAAAATAATTAATAATTATACATATGATCATCATAGTGTTAAGGTCTTGCCTAATCCAATCAGATTAGACCAGGCCTTAATAAAAAAATAATAATCAATAAGATCAAGCGGAAAGAATGCATCCTATGACTAAATGCGTGGAATGATGCTTGAGTGGTCGGGCAAATAAGTTAGAAGTGCAAGTAAATATTGACTCACACATAGTGCCTAAAAGAGACAATTCAATACCTTAGTCCCATCATCAAGGTAGATGGAAGATAGATGGGATATTGTCCATCATATAGAAACTACTTACTCAAAATGTAAGCTTAGTTTTTTGCGCAAGAAGATATCGACAAACATGAAAGGAAAGTTTTATCAAACATGGTTGTTAGTCTGCTACTATATGGCGCAGAGTGTTGGACGGTGAAGAAAACTCACCTTCTTTAGCTTCAAGTGAAAAGGATGAGGATGTTGAGATTGATGATTGATCATACAAGGATGGGTAAGATTTGAAATGAGGTTATTCTGGAATTCTAGAAGAGTGAGTGACACATGCTAGAAACGACATTTTAGGTGGTTTGGGCTTTTGAAAAGATGCAAAGATATAAGAGGCTTGTGGTAGAGGGTGCGAGAAGGGGTAGAGATTGACCTAGATAAAGTTTGAAAGAAGTGATTACCGAAGATACCTCATATGGTAACATGTGGGATTAGAGTTGTTGTGTAGATCTTTGGACCTAAGTTTGTAGTTTATGATGACACATTTCTACCCTAATCAGTAACTTTTGGGTGTGTGCTTTTTGTGCTCGAAGTATAGTTGATAGTGTCAGGTTCGCACTTCATGTCTTTGTGTTTCTCTGCTCTTACTTTGTTCGTGTTTATGTTGTTTGTTTAACCTATTTACTCTTTTTACCCTATCTACACGTCTGTGTTTGAGCTAAGGGTCTCTTCAAAATAGCCTCTTTACTTCTGAGTAAGAGTAAGGCCCTACTTTTGTCAAATTTTATTGGTTAATTGTTTCTTTTACAAAGGAATTGTATGGAAGATATTGTCTCTTTCATTTCTAAATAGTGAAATTTACACTAAATAGTATTAGAACGTATGTCATTTCCCAGTGTATTACTTAAACTTTTATCCCCTAAATAATATTTGAATAATGTCTAGTAGTGGGAACAATGTTTAGTGATAATGGACATTTAGTTTGAACAATGTCCAGTGGCGGTAAATTCCCCTTCTGAATAAATCCAAAACACACTTCATTTTCTTAGTTTTCATGTGGAAAGAAAATATTTAATTTATTGAGGGACTAATAGAGTACATAATAAGTATGCCATCAATTTTAAAACAATTTGTATTCCTAAAAAACACACTCAGGAACATATCACAAAAGCAAAAAATAAGACCAAATAGGTTGACTTACAAATTACCAGGCGGCTTATCGCATCGTGCTCTACATATAGGTCTTTTGTCCTTCATAATCATGGCATAATGTTCTGCTTCACCTACAAATGATAGTCACCATAAGTTCATTCTAAGTCTGTTCTTTAGGGTTGAAAAAAAAAGAGTTGGAAGAAATTGGAATAAACTTAAAAGGAGTTGTAAAAATTGGAAGATACGAGAAAAAACTAAAAAAACTAAAAGAAACTAGAAAAATTAGAAGAAACGAGAAAATAACAAAAAACACATAATGAATTTAAAAAACAAAAAGAAACTAGAAAAAACTAGAAGGAGCTAAAAGAGTTAGAAAAAAAACTAAAAGGGTTAGAAAATATTAGAAAAAAATGAAAAATGTTGAAATAAATATTATACCTTTGAAATTAAAAAAAAAAAGAAATCATAAAAAAATTCAATTTATACTTTCATAGGGATCCCTACATACTTTTAGGTCATTTTTTCTTTTTCATAATGTAGTAGAATAGTTATTATTTTTTAATTTTAAAAAAATTGATGTCTTCCCGAAGTCAATTTAGATTAATAAAAAATAGCTCTTTTATCGACAATTTTTGGAACATGGGTTAGTGTCGTGTAAATTAAAAAACAAAAAAAGTATAATTAATATATAAAAAATGAAAAACACATGAGAGTGTAAAGAAAATGGGAATAGTTTAAAAAACTAGAAAGAGTTGGAAGGAACCCGAATAAACTAGAAAAACCAGAAAGCAACTGAAAACAAACTAGAAGTTAAGAATTTGAGCCAAAAAGAAGAAGCTCTTGGATAAATTTAACAAAGTTGGATAAACAACAACATTAACTTTATGCTACAAGAAACTCCAAGTATGTTAACTTTATATAGGCACCATGAAATTTTATCCATATCAAAGCAGTTTTAAAAAACTCAAATGAAAGGGGAAAGTAATTATCTTCATCAATCAAGACCAGGCCTTTGATTTAAGGCATAATGATAAGGCTATTTCCATAAATGATGATAAAGATATTTTTATGAAGATGAATGCTCACATATTCCAAATTATTTATAGTTGTGGGGTAGAATGAAATATCAATGTCCTTAAAGACATCGTTCAGCCACAAATAATCAGTGGTTTAAAGACTTGAAACTTCATAGTATTACATTTTCATACCTTTATTTGCAAGTTCCTCTTTGATGCCAATGTGTCCCATCACAAATGCTAGAAGAACATGCATCATGAAATAAAATTGAAAATCACTACATTCCTACTAAATGATGAAAATAAATTCCTACAAACTTTGCTTACAAATAACTATAATTCTTTTTTTAATCAACAAAATGAAACTTATAATCTAAACCTAATAATAATATTATTATTATTACTATTACTATTAAGGAAAAATTCACACTAATAATCTAAGAAATTTTTTATTTTACAGTAATACTCCAAAATTCTATTCAATAATGTACACCACTACTCTCAGAAATTGCTCAATTTTATACCAATACTCTGAGCTACCAGATATCTAAAATATGTGGCATTTTAAATGGAGACTTTAAATTTCAGAGTGATAAAAAATAAAGAAAAATAAAATTTCAGACAAAATAATGAATTCTGAAGTAGATATTTCATAATCAAATTTATATTCGTTAGAAAGATCCTTAAAATATAAATTTAGCATTATATCATCTTTAAAGTTATCTAATATTTTATCTAAAGCATTATTCATAATTTATCCGATTAAAATATAAACATTTTATTATACAGTTTCAACACATTTTTATTTTAAATCAACATGAAGAGGGTAATTATAATGCATTCAAGGTATTTTCTTTATTTTTGTAATAAATTACCAACTCGTACTTAATAATCGTTCAATCACCATTTAAAATGCTATATATTCGCAGCCTGGAGTATTGGTGTAAAATTGAGCAATTTCTGGGAGCAATGATGTAAATTATTAAACTTCAAAGTATTAAAATAAAATCGCAAATTTCTTGGATTGATTTTTTCTTATTATTAATTATTTATAATTATGGAGGAGAATCAAATATGAATGTCTTAAAAGACATCCATAAAAAACTTCACTAGTATTAAATTTTCATACCTTTATTTGCAAGTTCCTCTTTGATGCCAATGTGTCCCATCACAAATGTTAGAAGAGCATGCAACATAAAACAAAATTGAGAATCACTACACTTGGATGAAATGATGTAAATAATATCCTACAAGCTTTGCTTACAAATCATTGTAATTTTCTTTTTAATCAACTAGATGAAACTAAAAGTCCAAACAAATAACAATCATAATACGGAGTAATAATAATAATAATAATAATAATAATAATAATAATAATAATAATAATAATAATAATAATAATAATAATAAGAACAACAACAAGAACTATTGATACAACAATAAATTTAACCACAGACATGGGACTATACAAGACTTCTTTCCCAAAGCTATCTTAGTGGTGCTTTCATAACATTGGGACTAATGTTATTACACAGTCAATGCCAACCACCTCAAGAGCCCCACTGCCCACCAGAAACCTCCGGCCACAGCAGTCTATTTGAGGCTACATCCCAAACAGGAAAAGAAATCATGGAAGAATCGAAGCCGGGAAAAAATGGAAAATTGAAGATGGAAGTAAAAACGCCCGAATCCAACACCTTACAACTTTGATTAAAAAAACGGAAAGTGGAGGAACTCAACACCAATCATTGATTCAAAACTTCCTAACATGGAATCACAAATAGAACTCCATTAATCAAACTATAATAATATCGCTATACCCTCTGCTAAGGGACGATCACTTCCGCATGTGCTCATAGCAAGCCGCCAAGTATATCCGCTAGATTTCCCTAAATCCCCACAGTAAAACCCTAGTAGTACACAGAGAGTAGCCGTAGAGAAACAATGCGACGAAAAACAGAGTACAGAGTATACTGTGTGCGCTTAGTTGCTTACCAGGCTATGGAAGCTTGTGCCGCCGCGTCGCTGAACTTTATAGGGAAAAATGAAACTGGGAGACGAATGGGCGTCACGGAGTCGAAGACGAAGGAGGAAGAGAGGCGAGAGCAGGAGAGAGAAAGAGGCGGCGTGGGATAGTGGGTGCGGGAAAAGGGGGAGAGAGGGGAGGACTGAATGAGAAATGTCTGTCCTACGTGGGGGGCCCCACGAAGTGAGAATTTGAGATTTTGATTTTTGAATATGCGCTTGTTGGTTAAAGCCGATGAACCATCGTCACTAGAGCCGAACCGGCGAGTGACCTCATTGGCCCATAGAATATTCTCACAAAGATTAGAAAATGTTGGAGAAGTTAGAAAAAAATTGAAAAGATGGAGAAAATAAATCAAATGAGTTAGAA